ATTTTTATTTTCTTTGTCGATAAAGCATAAGATTTTATTGAATGAGAAAATGCCCATTAAAAGTTACATCTAACAAGCTCAATAAAAATTGGGGTAGACAAAAACCCATTCAACAAAAGATAAAACAATAAAAAAAAAATTTATAATCTATATCCCGCAAAGGCAAAATGCAACTACCACCACCACCATTACCACCTCGTCAATAGTCACAAGGGTAGATGCCCTAAGAAAACCAACTCTTCATTGAATTTGATGAAGGGTATCACAACACAAAATTTGCCAACACACAACAAGCAATTATTCCCAACCAAAATTCGCCACTAAAACAACCACACTCAAGAAGAGCCACCAGATATGAACCGCCATCACATGCCACTGCAAGGAGAACAAAAAAAAGGAAGGGGATCGACTTATGGGGCATCTAAAACACCCTCGCTTTGAGCCAAGCCTTAGCACGCTTGGCCCCGATTTTCCAACATGTCACTTGGGTCGGAGTGGACAATGGGTTGAGATCTGGCATCCAATACAGGTGTGTCATTTCTAGCTTTAGAAAAGCTTGTAGGAAGAATGAGATGTGTGAAGGAGGACCTAATGGAGAAGATGGTGGAAGATGGGTGTTTTGAAAGAGGATTGCAGAATAGAGACCAAATTTTCTTAAGACAAAATACGGTGATAGACACCGGGGAATCGGCAAACAATGATGGAGATATGACCAAAAAAGCCGAGAAAACATGGTTGAACTTCTAGGAAGGAAAAGAAGAAGAAGAAAAAAAGCAAGAAATAAAGGGGGCTTGCAACCGACTCCCACCAAAGGAAGGAGTTGGTAGCAAGAGGGGCCATGTACGAGAGAGAAAGCAGGAGTGGCAAGGTCTTCTAGGTACTGTTTGGTATGCAGACAAGACGGGATGGAACAGAGGTTGAGTGTTATGTTTGGTACGTGCAGGACGGAACGTTACAGTTGTTCCATTATGTGTTTGGTACGCGCTGGACGGAATGGAACCAAAAAATTAAATGAGTAACTTAACATGTTCTGTCTGTTGTTTGGTACAATGTTTATGCATGGGACGGGACGAGACAAGCGTTTATTTCCTTTTTTTTTTTTTTTGAACTTGTTCATATTTTGAACACATATATGCTTATCTATGACATATTTTGATTTATTTTTTACACTAGCACATGGCTGAAGATATATTATGCCATGAATTCTATCTTTTATAACAATACGATGCTTAGCTTCAATATGGTTGAAGCTTATCGGATCAATGATGTGAAGAGGCAACATTCAAACAATATGATAGTATAAGTGTAAAATTATGAGTCTCTATTTTCCAAAAGTAGGCTTACCATACATGTCTACATCTCAGTAATCTTCAAACAATAAAAAACAATTACAACAATCATTTAGGTAAAATGTCATCAAACTGTCATCAAACAATGAATTGGTACTGTACCAGAATAAGAATGGAAACATATCTATCAAAGTTTATTCACATTAACTTATGCCATTATCCATTATGATTGTTATAAAACAAAAACTAAATCCAACATCTATTAATTATACATCAGTAAGACATTTGAAATTAATGTCCCACTCAATCAGTAGACATTTGAAACTAAATCCAACATCCAATAATTATGTTGCAATTTTAGCTAATAAATGTCCCACTCAATCAGCAGACATTTGAAATTAAACTCCATGGTGTGATCCTGCTACATTTCTGTGTCAAACCCTGAACTCGAAATCTCAAATTGGAACTACAGCAGCATCCGAATATCACCAGTGGGGTCTTACATTTGTTTGCTCCATTCTTCACTTCTAATTCAAAAATCTCAAATTGGCATGTTAAATCTATGCACTCGAACTCCCAATTACACAAATCTTAACAAAGCCCAGTAATTAACAAATCAAATTTGATAATTAACAAAACCCAGTAATTAACACAACCCATTAATTAACAAATCAGCAACAAAAGATAAAAAAGAAAACCCCAATTAATTAAAACCTAGAAAACTTTCAACCGAAACGCAAAACAATGAAACAAAAGCTGAGATTCATCAAGCTATCAATCGCATACCTGGGTCAATCTGCAGCACGACAGTGGTGGCTCTATGTTGTTGCGTGCTGGCTAGGTGTAGTCGACGGCTACAGGAGAGGATGAGGAGGAAGCCCACGGGAAGAAAAAGGCAGCGACATAATGAATGTAGGGTTTGTTTTAAGATTTGGATGGTGTAAATATTGAAAAAGATAAGGGGTAGTTTTGTCTTAAAATGATATAAATTTGTGTTCCACGGATGTGGAACAAGTCGTTCCAGGGGGGAAAGGTGTTACAAAAAATCTGGCAAAACGCGTCACGTGGAATAAAGCGTTCTACCCGTTTTAGGCGCACCAAACGTGGGACGTTCCGTCCCGTCCCACGTACCAAACGGTACCCTAGAGAATGCAAGAGAGAAGAAGGGTTTGCAAACAAGTTTCTATAATTTTTTATTGAACCTTAAAAAATTTATATAGAATACACTTGAATTTGAAGGTCAAGTAAAATCCATTAAACTCCATATACAATACACCCTTAGTTTCTTTGCTGGATATTAGCCCATCTATTGTACTAAAAAATTACATCCCTTTTTTTAATATGAATCATTTATGAAACAAACATAATGTATTCATTTTAATAGAGACTTACATGAAATAGGAACGGGAATATGGCAAAGCTTCAAACCTATCACGTGTCACCACATGTTTTAACTTTCACACATAATATTAGTAACACATGATTGTTTTTGAAAACTATCACCTTACCAGTCCACCGTTTATGCTAGTTATTCTCCAATTTTGTGTTGTTTCTTAGTACGTGGTGTGAGGTTTAAGTTGTATCGTTACGTACGTTACATGTGCTTCATGTTGCCTACCTTCTCTACAAAGAATCTACCTTTCGGTTAGAATACATCTCTTTACGCATTATGTTATATGAACTCGAAATCTCAAATTGGAACTACAGCAGCATCCGAATATCACCAGTGGGGTCTTACATTTGTTTGCTCCATTCTTCACTTCTAATTCAGAAATCTCAAATTGGCATGTTAAATCTATGCACTCGAACTCCCAATTGCACAAATCTTAACAAAGCCCAGCAATTAACAAATCAAATTTGATAATTAACAAAACCCAGTAATTAACACAACCCATTAATTAACAAATTAGCAACAAAAGATCAAAAAGAAAACCCCAATTAATTAAAACCTAGAAAACTTTCAACTGAAACGCAAAACAATGAAACAAAAACTAAGATTCATCAAGCTATCAATCGCATACCTGGGTCAATCTGCAACACGATAGTGGTGGCTCTATGCTATTGCGTGCTGGCTAGGTGTAGTCGACGGCTAGGGGAGAGGATGAGGAGGAAGCCCACGGGAAGAGAAAGGCAGCGACATAATGAATGTAGGGTTTGTTTTAAGATTTGGATGGTGTAAATATTGAAAAAGATAAGGGGTAGTTTTGTCTTAAAATGATATAAATTTGTGTTCCATGGATGTGGAACAAGTCGTTCAGGGGGGAGAGGTGGTACAAAAAATCTGGCAAAATGCGTCCCGTGGAATAGAGCGTTCCACCTGTTTTAGGCGCACCAAACGTGGGACGGAACGCCTCGCCTCATTGCGTTCCGTCCCGTCCCACGTACCAAACTGGTACCCTAGAGAATGCAAGAGAGAAGAAAGGTTTGCAAATAAGTTTCTATAATTTTTTATTGAACCTTGAAAAGTTTATATAGAATACACTTGAATTTGAAGGTCAAGTAAAATCCATTAAACTCCATATACAATACACCCTTAGTTTCTTTGCTGGATATTAGCCCATCTATTGTACTAAAAAATTACATCCCTTTTTTTAATACGAATCATTTATGAAACAAACATAATGTATTCATTTTAATAGAGACTTACATGAAATAGGAACGGGAATATGGCAAAGCTTCAAATCTATCACGTGTCACCACATGTTTTAACTTTCACACATAATATTAGTAACACATGATTGTTTTTGAAAACTATCACCTTACCGTCCACCGTTTATGCAAGTTATTCTCCAATTTTTTGTTGTTTCTTAGTACGTGGTGTGAGGTTTAAGTTGTATCATTACGTACGTTACATGTGCTTCATGTTGCCTACTCTACAAAGAATCTACCTTTCGGTTAGAATACATCTCTTTACGCATTATGTTATCATTACGTGATGCAAACAAAAGTTAATATATCTTTGTTGACAGAACAAATTTTCTCTATTTTTTGGCTGTCTAAATTATAATTTCTAGTCAAAACCAGTTCGCCAGTTAAGATCTTGGTTTTGTACACATTTGGGTTACTTTTTTTTTTTTTTTTTTTTAACCAAGGATACAATACCAAGGCACAGAGGCCGGCCAAGAACAAAGAAAGCCGCAAAGGCTAACGTAGCAAAGGAACTAACGACAGAGCAAGGGCACGGGATTACAATAGACGCTGCCACATAAGGCGAACACGTCATCCACATTCGGATTACTTTGCCATGTGATTTACTATATCGCACAACTTATTCTGGAATTTAGCATTTACCAAATCTATGTCTACCATTTTCAGGTGCTTCTTTAAAAGGGTGAGTGAATACTAAAGTGATATGCAAAACAGAGGCTTGCTCTGTTAAATGTGCATTAGGCTAGGTTAACGTGTTTCATACTAGATAGAAATGGAAAACTTGGGACTACAAATTTGATTTTCATTTTTCTTTTTGATGGAAAATAAAACTGAAAATTTGATATTGACAAAGCGAGAGACATCATAATTTTCATTACTAAATTGGATTATGGGATTAGATTGCATTGATATAATGAATAGGAAAATAACTTCCGAAACAAATTCACCACCTCCCTAATATCTTGTTTCTTGTAAGTCACTCTTCTTTAATAAATATGCTTGTATGAATTGGTGCACGAACACTAGTTCCAATTTGGATATTGAGAGAGAGAGAGAGAGAGAGAGAGCTAAAATAATATTTATATTGCTTGCTAGATAGCTTGATACATCCTCGTCGTACAGAAATTTTTAATAACCACCCCACAAAAGAAAAATTACTGATAAAATATATGGAAATAGAAGAAGCAGAGGCATCCTTGGTGGTACAAAAGATACAGACTACAACTTCATATTGTCCTATTTCGTATCTAAAACTGGAACTACCACTGTTGCTAAATATTTTAAACAAAAACAAAAGCTAAATCCTCCTCCTCTTCCTCCTAGTGGGGTCATCACATTTTTACTTAATTTTAACTAATTTTATCAGATCATTAGTTGGTGGAACCATTAGCATTTGGGGTGGAGGAAGAGCTGAGGTTGAGGTCAGGAAGTGTATTTCCAGCTGCTGCATTGGCTTTTGTTTTTGAAGTACTTTTGGACAGCTTCTGCTGAAGCTCAGAAAGCAAGGCTTGATTCTCCTGGTTCAGCAGCTGTGCCTTCTTCCTCAGCTTCTCATTCTCTTTCATTATGTAGCAGTTCTGCAAGTACAGCTTTGAGTTCAATCTTTCCATTGCTGTGAAATTTGTCTGAAATTCCTGTGTTGCACTGAAACCAAATCCAAGAAATACAAAAAGGGTATCTCAGATAATATTATTTATTGGCATAAAACATTTTACTATTAAAAATGCACAAAAATGCACAAAACCAGTTCGCCATATTTCACATGAAGACAGTAACATTATACTATTAAAAATGCACAAAAATGCACATGAAGACAGTAACACTACTATTAAAAATGCACAAAAATGAACAAAATATATGAAATAAAATTAAAGGAAGGAAAAATGCCCATATGGATTTAATGAGAAATAGATTGGATCAAAGAAAGGTTACCCAGAAACAGATTTGGGTGTGAGAGAATTATTTGGTTGGAAATGACTTGGCTTGTGCAGTGCTTTTACCGGAAGCACTTATGACAGTTTCACAAAAAGAAGGTGATGACAACTGGAGAAAGCAGAGCAACTTATCAAATTTTGGAGCACTGAGGTTAGATTATTTAGATATACAGAGACATATAGATATATATATATATATATATATATATTTATAGGTGGGTTGTCTTGCTAGGAAAGAAAAAGAGAGATGGAATCATAAGTAGTCCAAAACTGCACTCAATGAAAAACAAAAGAATGGTTTCTTTCGGCTTACCACTGATGAAAGAAAAGGATCGAAATCACGTATTCGGAACTGCCAAAAACTTAAAACTTCTTTGTTTGATTACAAGAGCATTCACAAATACAAATCTTACCCTTTTCCACATTCAAGAGGTTGGTATGAATGATCAAAAGTTTTTAAGAACAAAAGTGATAAGTTCTAGAGAGAGAGAGAGAGAGAGAGAGAGAGAGAGAGAAACCATCTGGTACAATAAGTGTTGGAGAATCCAAAATGTGAAACGTTTCTAAAGGCGAACATTCCTTCCACAAAATGAGGTGTAGAACACACAAAGAACACTAAACGAAAAACAATGTGAATTACAATATATATGTATAATATGTGTGTGTGTGTGTGTGTGTGTGTGTATATGTATGTATATATTTGCTTTAGTAAAATGAGTAAAGAAGTGACCTTTAGAAGGTTTGGTTGGTAAGAGAGCGTTGGGGCCGAGGAAGCAAATCTTCTGGTTTTGTAACAAGATGTAGCAGTGAGAAAAAGAGAGATGAGTTTGGTATGAGGGACAGAAGGAACAAAGAGGGCCTTAATTTATAGAGCCAATGCCACCACTACCAGTCTTCCTAGAGAGAGAAACGATGCAACCATATGAGAGAGAGAGAGGGTTGTCCTCATGAGGAGAGAGAGGAGAGAGAGAGAGAGAGAGAAAGGGAAGGGGACATGCCCTCTCTATCTGACACAACAATCATGCATGTGTAAGCATGGAAGGCGGCCGGTTAGGAGCCTAAAAGATTTTAGAGTTTTTGGTTTTCTATGATGATGATGATGAATATGGCGTCATGTGAATGATGATGGTTTTTCGGGTTTTGCAGTACAAGAAATAAATATTTTTTTTAAAAAAAAAAACTTGGAAAAAAGAAAAACAAAATAAAAGGCATAGGGGTAATGTGGTCATAAAAATGACTTTACGGATATGGAAGAAGAAGAAGAGAGAGACAATTATGGGTAGCTAGGGTTTGTAAATGATGGCGGAGCTAGGGCCGTCCCAAGATTCGCAATGATGGTTTGGATTGGCTTTCCCTTCCCTTCTCTTATCTCCTCCATCATCAATTACAACTTGTGCAATCATTTCTTCTTCTTCTTCTACTTATTTCTTCTTATTTCTCTACTAACTACTATTTGTGTCCCTCTTTCAATTCCCCTTTCATTTCATAATTCTCATGTGTTGGGAACTGTTGGCAATAATCAATTTCAGCCATTATGGATTTTGGTTTCCCTTCCCACCCTTCAAGATCAAGAATTGGCGGTTTTGTTGCCCTAAATTCAACTTGCATTTCGTCATTTTGGTCAAGAAATCTATCTCATATCTTTTAGGTCTTGTCGAAGATTTGCATCCTTATTACAAATAAACAAACACACTATATGATTATTTGATTTAACTCGTATCTGTTTATATTTTGATATAACAGTGATAGTTTACCTACTGTAATATACGTTAAGCAAGATTTGAACTCAGATGCAAAGAGACAGACACACTACTATGCTTAACTAATCAAACTCACACCTGCTTTTTCAAATATATTAATTAAAGGGAAATGATTTTCACAATTCATCTTTATTTTTTATCATCGAAACAAATAAATAAAACGAAAACAATTATATGATTAAATATGAGTGTTAATTGAATAGTGTTAATGTGCCTAGAGCATTATTTGGTGACAAACCCATTACCCCAAATGTGAATCCCTATTTGCTAAAACAAGTGGTTCCAACGGAAAGACCAAAGAAAACAAAAGGACTAAAGAAGGGTATCCCTTTAGTAGGCCTTTGTGCCCTGTAAGTACAACAAAGTGACCATTTTGCCCTTGATACATAACTTGCACGGTTTGGCACCATCGATGGTGTTTTATTTTACGTTATTACAATCATAATTACAGGCCAAGCTAGCATCATAAGTAAAAAAGCAGGTTGTTTTTCTGCCAAATTTAAGGGTGTGAGCTTGAAATAATGGGTGTGGAGAGGGGGAATTCTTGGGGCCAGCCAGCTCCGAGCCCTCATGGGTTATGAGTGGCTTAACGTGAAACATCATGGTTTGACAGAGGGTGTTTTGGAAGGGTCTATCATCTGAGGGTAGAATCGTCCAACTGCCTTTGGTGTCCCTCGTGGACCTCGTTCATTTCAATCCTCATTTGGGTATATGCTTACCTCAATCCAATTATAGCAATGCAGACAATGACCTTTTTGTCCTCAATGGTTTGTTTTCCTTTTTCTTCCAATTTTCTCACATACTTGTGTGAATAACGTTCACCAAAAGGCCAACTCAACCCAAAATTGAGTTCGTTTCCAAGTTTAATTAATTAACATTTCCAAAATAAAATAACATTTTTGGTCTTTGTATGGGTTTTCAAACAACTACTGTCGCAAATGTGGGCTAGCTAGTTTGTCAAAGCAGTCGTTTGTTGCTTGTATGTATATTATAACCTTTTTTGTATATTATTATAATTTAAAAAGAAAATGCTAAAGATATTCTTTCAAAAGTGGGGTCTTTCACAGATATTTCTCTGTCGTCGTGTGTTTTCAGCATAATATTTTATAATATTAACCTAAAAATTATGCTAAAAATGTGAAGTGACGGATAATTTATACAAGATCTCACTTTAAAAGACTCATTGACATTTCTCTAATTTAAATATTATTTATAAACATTTAAATTGTATATTGCCTCAACTTTGGCAATATTTGAAGGAGGGCTCGTTGGGCCAAGTTTGGGCCCAATGGAATATCCTAAACTAGATTAATGCACTTTCTAGCCAAATTAGATTAGTGTCATTACATAAGTAAATCCTAATTAAAATAAAGTGACAAAATGCTTGATATGAAAGCCTTACTCTATCTATATAGGTTATTGTTATCCCATTAATAATGTGTTGGAAAAATATAGAAATATGACTTTTTGTATTGATGTGTGGAAATATTACAATATATATAGGGTTAGATAAAATTCTAGTTAGGGTTACATAAAGCTCTATTTAGGTAGGAATCATACACTAGTTATATGGAAAATTACATTCCTATGATACATACAATAACTACTGAGTAATTTCCTTTAATCTAACCGCCTTGCAAGATTGACAAGCTTGATCGAACGAGTTTAGAGCAAAGAAGACTATTATGGGGTTGATGGAGTGCTATGATGAGGAGAACAAGAAGTTGATCCATGGACAAATATAGCAAATCCGATGACTCCCAGAAGTCACTTTTTCACGAACAAAATGATAATCAAGCTCAATATGACATGTGCGAGCATGATGAACAAGATTAGGAGCAAGATAAGTGGCACTAAGATTGTCATAATAAAGCAAACACATGAAAGACAAACAAAAACCAAGCTCTCAAAGAAGAAAGCACAACCAAGTAGTCTCCGAATAAGCATGAGCAAGAGATATGTATTCGGACAACCAAGTAGTCTCCGCACAACCAAGTAGCTTCGATGAGGGATTCATACTCTCAACACGTCCCCTCACATGTGGTGAATTTTCAAACCTAGCACATGGACAACACAAATCGGGTGATGTGGAGTACATGTAGCCATTAGGCTTCACACATGAGACAACCTACTCTGATACCACGAAGAAATTTTACTACTTGTGTTGATATGTGAAAATATTACAATATATAGAGGATTTCATAAAGCCCCATTTACTTATTTAGGTAAGAATCCTACCCTAATTACTATGAGAATTTACATTCGTATAATACATACAATAATGATCAACTGCTTTAGTAGCTAGGCCAGAGCATCCAATTCCCAACTAATCTATTTCGAACGGAAGCAATCGATGAAATGGAGCTAGCTTACAAGAGAAGGCTTGATAAGCTTCAAAGTCATCCCATGACAGATTTTTTCATTGTTTGGAAGGTTTCACCTTCTTTATTGGGGCGTCTTCTGCCTCTCTTTCCTTGTTACTGATGCCACTACAGATACTCCTATCAGAGTGATTCTTCCCGCTTAAAAAAGAAGACGAGCACCCAATTCTGTTTTTGGAGTTCAATGGTCGACTTTGGTCGGATAGATAAGTTGGAATTAGAGAGTAGTTTCCTATAATCTAACGCAAACATTTAATATATGATACTCCATTGATTCGCGAGTTAATTCTTACTAATATCATTGTTTCATTAGATTCTTACTAAATTTAATGTTTAGGTAGGACTATAATCTTGGGTTTGGAATGGCGCTGGACTACAATAAGTGAGACTCGCCTCAACTACGAGGCGCTCCCTCCTTCACTAAACCTTGTTAATGAGTTCCAAACTTTTGCTTGGTAGCGAGACTAGAAACAAGATTAGACCCTAGCTTTCGTTTTCCCTAGGCTTCGCTGTAACATCACACATCTCCCAGGGGAGTGGATCCTTTAAGCCTTATATGTATATTTCCATCTCTACCTAGCATGAGGCCTTTTGGAAGCTCACTGGCTTCTGGTTCAGTAGGAACTTCGAAATTAAGCGAGTTCGCGCGAGAGAGCAATCCAAGGATGGGTGACCCACTGAGAAGTTCTCATGTGAGTTCCTAGAAACAAAATCGTGAAGGTGTGGTCAGGGCCCAAAGCGGACAATATTGTGCTACGGTGAAGTCGAGCCCGGGATGTGACATTCACCTTTTTTCTTCTGCAGTGCCGTTAGCTACAGCCCACAGCCGTTGCGGAAAAGTTTGGGCTTCTCTGAAATCTGGGAGTTGTTCACTTGAAGCCGACACATGAATCATAATCCATATCATCTCATTGCTTTAGGAAATGAGAGAAATGGATAGATAAGGGGAGAGAAAGTAGCTTCGGGGAGCAAGAGTGATGGAGAGACAAAGAGGGAGATAAGGAGATGAGGAGAATGGACGGAGCCAGAGAGAAGATGCTAGAGAGTATAGGTTTACCAAAAAAAAAAAAAAAAAAAAGGTTGATATAAAATATTATTAAATATGTATTTAGTATTAACTATTTAGTTTTTTAGTCCGACACTACACCAAACATTTCAATAATTTAGTCTATCTTAGTCTATTATAAACCAGTCCAATTTAGTTCCTAAAGTTAATCCACTCCGAAATAGTCCGGTGTAATAAATGCATCATGATAGGCTTAATTAACACTTTTTTTTTTTTTAACATCGAAAACCCCTTAGTAAGAACATCTCCAATGGTTAGGCTAAAAGCCAAATATTTTAGCCCGGAAAATTTAGCTTTTAGTTAGTTTTTCTGTTCCAATCGTTATAGCCTAAAATCTTAGCCCGAGATTATAAAAGAATGAACTTAGACTATTTTTTTTGTTAAATTAATTTTTTTTAAATAAATATGAAGACTATCGTAAATTAATTTTATGAACATTTTAATCTAAAAAAATTTAAATTCCAATAAATATTGGATGGAGTCCGCTCCGATTTCTGGGCTAAATTTTGGAGGGAATTTAACTTTGGTTTAGCATTTAGCCCAAATTTTCCTCTTGGGTTGGAGTGGATTTGGAAGAAATTTTGAGGGGTAATTTGGCTTTTAGCTCAGAGTTTGTCTAATGGTGCTACATGTGATCTGCCGGGGTCAAATCCATCGGTCATTCAAAACAAATTAAATAATCCGGTCAACCAAAACAC